AACCCGTGTCCCCTGCATCAGCAGGCGGACTCTCAACCACTGCGCCACCAGGGAAGCCCACAGAAACAATTTTTTGACGTCAGTATTAGGAGCTCCCCCCAACCCCGCCACTGGATTTTTGTGAAATTATCAATTTTTGATGTCTGATAATTTAACTCTGCTTCAAAAAATACTTTGTCTTTTGTCTTCATTGATAGTATGTGAGTAGAAGGCAGTATGCCAGTTTATCTAATGGGGAGAATATTAAAAATATCGAATTCAATTGCTTAGCAAAGAACCCACTTCCTGTTGCTGAATTGAAACCATATTTGATTTCGCTGAATGGCACGTCTTGACTTTCTCACTTGCCCCGCTTGACTTCGTGACAGGTGCCGCCTCAGTATGGCCAGCCAGGTGTGAGCGGTTACTGCCAGCAGGGCCAGCAGCCTTACTACAGCCAGCAGCCGCAGGCGCAGTATCTGCCGTCCCAGCCCCAGCAGAGGTACCAGCCGCAGCAGGTGAGCACAGTCCTGGTCCCCAGGCCTCTGTTCTGAGATGTCTTCCTGGCCCATTGAAAACATTTCTGTTCTCGGTGGGAAAATTGAAGTTTTGAGAAAATGCAGAACTATAACCTAAACTCTTTGTTTACGAATGGATGTTTGAGATGGAAGGGTGGGAAGAATGACTAGTTTAATAGCTTCTTACATTACTGGTCAGTGACAGCAGAAAATGTCAGTCATTTCATGTTCTTTGTCATTTGTGTTCTGAATCTTTCCAGAAAGTACTCTGTCACTCCGTTGAGGCTTATTCAGGAAAATGGTTTTATCGATCATTTAATCTTTCTAGTTGGCACATACATGGTGTTTTTATGTTGAGCCTTCTTTTGATTTGTTTTTGTTTTGATGGTAAGTGCTACTGGGTCAAAACATTGTTGCCTTTGGCAGTGTTATTCTTCCTAAACTAGCTTATAGACAGATAATCACTTCAATTACAATATATTAAAATACTAAAGGGAATCATGTACTTTTAAGTATGTTAAACACTTTCTAGTTTAAATTAGCCTCATTAAATACTCTTTTAGGTTATTGGGCTATGTATTTCAGCTTACATGATCTGTAGAAAAATAGTACATATGCGTTTGGTACAGTGATTCAGTTTCATCTTGTTTTAGAGATTGTCGCTGAGTGATATTCAGAGGTATCATGAGCTCAGGACCTGTACTCTGAATTCAAATAGAGCTTTCATAGCACTTTCAGTCATAAGCATCAAAATGTAACTTTGCCTTTTATATTTTCCTCTCTTCTTTCGTTTTTGTGGGTTAGGGGTGATGAAGAGAGGGGAAGGCAGTGACATTGACTATTCAGTTTTTAAAGTGCTACTTACACAGCTTGGAGAGATTGTTGATGCTAAGCAAAATACATAAATATCTGAAGCTTAATTTTAATAAATTCAGCCGATTTCTTAAGTATTTTCTTGGGTTCTTTGGAGTCTTTTCCCATGTGACTTTTATTTGAGTTCCAAAAAGAGTTTATGACTTCAAAGAAAACATGTTAAAACAACAGCTGAGATTGAAGATCTGTAGAATCTTGCTTTTTGCATATATGTTTTCAAAATTTTGGTTTTATATAAAGCAATTTATAGAGGTAGGAATGTACATTATTTCAAAGTTATTTAGTCTGGTCTTTTATTAAAATGTGGGAAAATTAAATAGCCTTTCAATACCGTTTCTTTTTAAGTGAGAGAGACTGGTATCTGGGTTTATGATATATAAAGTTACAGGCTTTTTCATGGGCTTTCAGAGCCTTATTGAACTTCTCTGAAGACAGAATGTTTTGTCATGTCATCAGAGTTTAAGAAGGACTCAGTAGAGATATTATATTACTCATTTTCCTTCAGTGAGCTAAAACGAATCTCTGATTGTAAAACCAGTTTGATTAAGGATTCTGAGTGCCTGTCATTTCCTTCAAGACCAAGTTCAAAATTTACTTCCTTTATGAAGCATTCACTGATGACTCCTTCCACATGGCAATTAGTTATTTAATATCCTTCATATTTAAATATTTAAAGCGTACTACAGGTAAAATCTTATTTTAATGAATACTATTTTAATGTGCTTAGTTTAGGTCTATTTTATGCTTTGAACGACACTGCTGTTATTTTATTGACTTGAATACAATAAATTATATGTCAGGAAATACTATATAAAAATGATTCCTGGGCTCCCCTGGTGGCGCAGTGCTTGAGAGTCCGCCTGCCGTTGCAGGAGACGCGGGTTCGTGCCCCGTTTCGGGAGGATCCCACATGCCGCGGAGCGGCTGGGCCCGTGAGCCGTGCCCGCTGAGCCTGCGCGTCCGGAGCCTGTGCTCCGCAAATGGGAGAGGCCACAACAGTGAGAGGCCCGCATAACGCAAGAAAAAAAAAAAAAAAAAAATGATTCCTTAATGTAAATACTGTCATCTTTTTGTATATTCTGAGGCAAAACAAATATTTCTCAAAGTATATTGGAAATTTTTTCTTGTTTTCATACTCCCTAACTATAGAATGTCTAAATATTTTTTAAGTTTAAGTTTCAGTAAACTCTTCTGGGACAAAGAAATGGAAATCAGAGACATTTAGGTAGCCTGAGACATTTAGGTAGCCTAATCAGAGGGTCTGGTTTGACAGGAACCGTTTTACTTTTTAGGGAATTTGATGTTCAGATAGATTTGGAAAGTTTATCTAGGAAATGAGATCTAGCATTTTAGATATAGTTAGCACCTCCAAAACCAGAATAATCCCCCCCAAATCTATCCCAAAACAAAGTAAAAATAACCACTAGAATATTTTCAAAATCAAGCCAAATTTTAGTAAGAATTTATAATGCTGAATTCACATGCATTTAAAAAACAAAGGAGCTCAACTGTATTTACTGTAAGAAGCCAGTGTTTCGTAACAGACAGAACATTCCTTCCTGTAGACTTTCCTTTTGTTCCCAGATATAGCATACACAGTCTGTTGATTTTTGTATTAGGAGATAATCAGCAAGTATGACTTTGTGTCTCTTGTTAATGTGGTTGATACAAAAGGTAATTTTAGGGTTCCATTAAGATACCCCACTTTGTGTCTTTAACATTTTTTAATGTGTAATGTTTTGGATCATCAATACATTCATATGGTTCAAAAATTAACAAGTACAAGGAAAGGGCACAGATTCCAGTCTCCACCATAGTTCCTCTTGCCTAGCTCACCATCCTCCTCACCCTTTGCTAGATAACCACTTCATTAGTTTATTGTACGTTTCTTTATATAAAGAAGCAAAATACCATATTTTAATTGTTAGCTCTATTTTTACACAAATGTTGGTACACTATACCATACTGTAAACATTCTTCTGTTCTTTGTCATTCCCCCTTCCCTACCCACTTAAATATATTTTCTGTGGTTCTTTCCAAAGGAGGACATAAAGCAATCCTCCATTCTTTTTTATAGCTTCATTCCATTTTATGGACATATCATAATGTATTTAACCAGTTCTCTTTTGATGGGCATTTAGATTATTTTTAGTTATTTGCAATTCAAACAGTACTGCCATGATGCTCTGTATATGTGTCATTTCGTAAATGTCCAAGTGTATGTGTAGGATAAATTCCTGGCTGTGTCAGTGGGTATATGCAGTTGTAATTCTGGTAAATATTGCTAGATTGTTCCCCTTAGGGGTTGTGCCAGTTTATACTCCCACCATCGATGTGTGAGAGTACCTACCATGTGCCAGTAGCATGGTTTTAAGAAGCTTCTGGATTTTTACCAATCTGATAACGTAGTTTTAATTTATATTTTTCTTGTTATGAGTGATTTTGAACATCTTATATATTTAAAAATGTTCACATTTCCTTTTTTCCTGGACTGTCAGTTCATATCTTTTTATCTTGAAATTTTCTGTTCAGTTGTTTGTCTCTGAAAAATTGATTTATATAATAAAAACTAGGTATATTAGGGAGACTAGACCTCTGTCCATGATATGAATTACTCACTTCCCCATCTTATGATTTGTCTTTTGACATTAATTGTGGTACCTTTTTTTTGTCATGCAGAAGGGCTTTTTGAATTTAAAAAAATGTTTATGTAGTCAGAATTAGCGGTCTTTTATGATATCTGGATTTTATTTTTAGTGAGATTATGAACCTTCCATACTCTGAAGTTACAAAGGAACTGTCCCCTGTTATCTTGTAGTATTTTCATAGAGTAATTTCTACATTTCACTTATCCTAATCTATGGAGAGAGGTATGATCCAACATAATTTTTTTTTCTCTAGATGACCACTTGGTTAAGTAACTTTTCTTGTATTAGGTCTCGCCAGAGAACTAGCCTATTGGTTAGGATAAAGATATTTATTTTAAGGAATTGACTCAGATATTTATGGAAGCTGGAAAGTCCAAAATCTAGTGTAGACCAGCAGGCTGAGACCCAGGAGAGCTGATGGTGAAGATGAAGCCTGACGGCAGTCTGTTGGAGAGCTGCCTCTTGCTTGGGGGGCTGGTCTTTTTGTTCTATTTAGGCCTTCAACTGATTTGATGAGGCCCACCCACATTATGGAGGGTAATCTACTTTACTCAAGGTCACTGATTTAAATGTTAATTTCATCCCCAAATACTCTCCAACTTGACACATAAAATTAACCATTACTGTTATCTTTCCTTTTAAACTTCTGAAACTTTCCTTTAGGTACAGTGTTTGAGCTTATTCTGGGACTTTTATTCTTCTCCATTGGTCCTTCTGTTAGTGTGCCGGTACTGTACTGTTTTTATCATTTTTTAATATCTGGTAGGGTTAATACATCTTCATTACTCTTTTCAGAGCTCTCTTGGCGATTTGTGTTTGCTTATTTTTCATATAAACTTTTCATTTTTTACCATGCTTTTTCCTAAGAATTTTGTCTTTTTTGTTGTTATTATAATGGGATTTTTTTTCATTGTACCTTTTTTGTTTTATGTGAAATAGGTGATACTTACAAAATAATAAGAGTTAAAAAAAAAAAAGTACCTCATTTGAACAATTAGCAACACACTTGTAATAAAACGAGCTGGGTTTACTTGGCTTGGGTTACTAGGGGCCAGGGAGAACACGCCCCTGCGGAGCCTCACGGAAGGTGTGGAGTTGGGAGGTTTATAGGGTTGGGGTGTGTGCTGGATGGTTCTAAGAGGTATCAGGGGAGCGAGGGTCAGTCTGGACTGGCTACTTCAAAGAAGCTGTGAGCATTTGGTGATTAGGTGTCTTAATTTTGAGCCATGAGGCAGGACTTAAGTGTGTCCGGGCTTTGTCATTGGTAAAGAAGCACCAGTCGCTTAGAGAAAGACAATGTTAGTAAAGAAGAGGCAGATGTTTAGTCATTTTTATCGTCAAAAAGTGGCCTTGTCCAAATCTGCTTTCAGCACCGCTTATGTGCTATGGGTGGTGCTCCGGTCTGCTTGTTCTCAGGGCTGATTTTCCTTTTCTGCTCACATTCCTACCCCACTGTCCCTCCTCTTCCTGAATGACTTC